ATTAGGTTCCTTCCAGCCCTACCAACTATGAAACTATACATATATTCAAAACTTACTGGACCAGTATGCTTTGAATATACAGTCATATTTCAGACATTTTAAATATATATAATTTGGATAAGAGAAAGTATTCTACTACACAGGCAAATATTTAAGTTAGACCATATCTTGTACAGAAACCCCAACACTAGCTTCATTTCTGTTCTGTAAAGATGGTGGCAATTTACTTTTCTTTCTTGGGGAGGATCTAGATTTGAAAAAAAAGGTTGCTTTAATTTCTTTGGCATTATCTCAGCTCTTTCTATAAATCTTAACCTGCAACTCTCTTTCAGAAATAAAGAATCCACACATCAATTATTAAGAAATAAAACTTTTCCAAAAGACTGTTGTCTCAGAACTCCATCTTATCAAGACATGGATGCAAATACCATCACCTTTTAGCTTTGGGTGGAATTTTCAAAAGTGCTCAATATAACACTAATTCCCACCTCATGAAGTTAGTATTCCTTTTGAAATCCATACCTTTCATTTGCAACAGTACATACCACAGGAATATTCCAGTACTTAAAGAACTCTCCTTCATATTCTAAAAATACCTAAATGGAGAGTGGAGAATTTGTATTAGCATATATAAATATACAATTTATGGAATTACAGGTTCAAGTGTACAAGAATTGTAAGATTACAATGTTCCTTCAATAACAACTTTCTAATTATACAGCAAAAATTAGTTTATTTTAATATTTAAAATATTTAGGGGCAAATTCAAATTTACAATAGTAATAACTAAAGTATTTAAGCCTAGTCTTGCTCCCACTGAAGTCATAGGAAATTGTCAGTGATTTCAATGGGAAAAAGACTGGACCAAATATGTAAAGCACACTACAAAAATGCCTGCATTTTCTTATATACTGAACACCCCCAAATAAGACCTGCACCTTTTTAATGAAAAGAGAGAATGGAGAAAAAAGATATTTCCAGAATTATGTCTGCATAGAGCAGGAGCAGAGCCTAATCTCTACCTTTCCCCTCCTTCCTTTCTCGCTCAGCCAAAAGTTCAAATTGTAGCTGCTGCTGAAGACTGGTCTCTATGGGAGCAGAAAGAAGAGCAGCTCCTTGTTACAACTCATAGCACTTTACAGGAAGCGCTCTAAGTTGCAATGATTCCCCAGACCAAACAGAAGTCAACTGTTGGGTCTGAGGGTTGGGGATTCCAGCTGCTTGCTGACAGCCTGCAGCCTGGTTTCCACAGCAATGCCAGATCAAGCAAAAATTATCACTTCTGTCTGCACCCTATCGGATGATCTGTGAATTTGAAAAGTTCTAAAAACAGTCTGTAGGACTATCAAACAGGAGAAGAAAAATCAAGAGTAGCTATCAGACAGCAACACTGCCAGAAGAAAAGGTAAGCTCGATTAGTGGAACTTCAGACCATTAAAAAGGAGAGACAGTCATTTACATCTCTGGAATGAAGAGCAATGGGCCATTAAGTCAACTGTTGGTGCTGCCAGATGGGTGGTTTTAAACTTTGGATGAAGAAAGATTCAGGGGATGCTTCTATTCTGGACACAAAATCAGCTTCCCTACTTAAGAGATGCAACTCAATTTTTGGGGAGGGGGCAGAGGAAAGGTGAGTACACATAATCCGTGAGTAAATACAGTAAGATGTTGATGTCTTATGAAACTTGTAAATAACACTTTCAATCACAGCAGCCATTTCTGTGGCTACGGTTAGTAGGCTAGAGTATCTGGTTGAAAAGTGATATACACAGTAAGTAATGTCAGAGAGTGTAGTTTAGAGATACGGGCATGTGAACAAGTTACAGTAAGACAAGGGGTTTGGAACTTTATCATCAGATGGTCTGTTAGAACTGTCTGTGTGCGTGCTTTTACTACACAGTAAAAGAAAGTAAACCCACAGCAGCATAACTCTCAATGAAATGGATCAAACAACTGCAGATTAGCTCAACTGATTTGTAACAGCATCCTGATTCCACTCTGTTCCACATGGCTGGAGGCTTGAGACCCCCATTTCTATTCCAGTGACTTTGTTTACTATGCTCTTGGGACTTGCATTCCACATACAGCAGATGCCTGTGCCCCTTGTGATGTGCATACTGTGGGTTGACTTTGTTACTGTAGGATACCCGGGGGGGGGGGGCAGTGCAGTGTATGTGCAGTGTGCAAGGCAAGTCCAGCACACACTGCAGGCAGCATGTGGGTCCAGCCTAAGACCCCTGGGTAGTTCAGTGGGTTGGATGATAGGGCTGCACCTTTGGACTCCTGGTGCTGAACATCCATACTGGTGCACTTTGTTGGTGCATAAAGCACCGTGGACTTACAAATCATTTTCTGACCATGTATCAGGATCTATGAATTGCTGCACCTAGCAAAGTTCCTTGAAGCAGGTTTAGCATCTATGTATCTAAACTCTTTTCAGTTGTTCATCTATTTTGCAGTAAATTTTGATTAATAGCTGCTCGAAAGGGAATGTAAGTTGTAGTGAATTATCTGGAAGTAATCACTTACTTGGAATTCAGTAGGGCCACCTACATGATTAAGCAATGGGTGCAAGACGATACTGGAATGCCATGGAAACATACTTTATGGTCCAGGGGTAATCATGTTGCAAGACTGGTTTCTTTTGTTTCAGATTTCAGAAATGTGGGAGATGTTGCTGAGGCTGGTCTAGAAAACTATGGTAACTTGAAATCAAGGGAACCTCCAAGGTCCAATGTATTTTTGCTTACAAGTTTCATAAGATGTTACATGTTGCATAATAGAAAGCATCTCAAACTTTAGTGTCCTCTCTGTTAATTTAGGGAGTGTGATATCAGAGAAACTGAAGAGAGCAAAGACCAGTCAAATACTTCCTCAACTGTTCTCAGTTTATGTGCAGAAGACAATAGGTGAGGGGCTGACAGGTGACAGTCGGCGTCCTTAGCTGTCAGTGACAAAGGGGAAAAACACTGTGGGATTGCAATGCAATGCCTAACACTATCATTGCAGCTGAACCTGCTGCTTGACATTGGCACTGCAACCAGGCACATGACATCAACAGATAAAATTCACATAACAGTTTTAAAATTCGGAACAAGTGCAATCAAAACTGTCTCATTAAAATGTGTGCTCCAATGAATGTGCTTTGTCTGTGCTTATGAAGTGAAGTGAGCTGCAAGTGCTGGAAGTGCCAAACTTGTCCAGTGCAAACAGGACCTCTGTGTCTTTGTACATCTCTATTCCAGCTGTTTGTTATACCTAGGATTGTCAAACATTTTCACTTTAAATAGAAAACTTGCCTTGTGGATCAGTTGCCCTCCCATTTATAACTATGAAGACCAGTTTCCCCCTTCCAAGTCATGATCATGTCGTGCCTATGGATAATCCAGAAATTGCTAATACAGGAAAGTGGGGAAAGCAGTAGTGGGGGTGAGTGGAAGTGAGTGGACGTGTGGGGCCAGTGCTGGCGGGGCCCAGAGCGGTGTGACAGAACCATGAAGTGCGGGCTGGCAGGGGTCTATGGAGATAGGCTGGGCTGCGCCAGCAGAGAGAGAGGGAAGCTGGTCTGGCTCCATAGAGCCCCTGCCAGCTGTGACCCCACGCTCCTGCCATCCCACTCTGGGCCCACCAACACTGGTCCCAGGACACCAGTGTGGGCCCCTTTCCACCTGTTGCTGGTTCCCGTGTGCCTGCTCACTCCCAGTCCTCCCTGCCCCAGCTTTGCAGTAAAGGCAGGGACCAGAACACGCAGCCCTGACCCCACATGCCCCACACTCACCCATCTCAGTGAAAGAATCAGACCCTAGGCTGGTGCCCATTTCCCTGGCAACCTAACCTGGGGCCGGGCACCTGCGGAGACTTGGATTGGGCCCGAAGGAAAAAAAGAATTGGGCCTGTGGCCGCTTTCATCTTCCGGGGGCTCCTGCAGCCGCCAGGAGGTCAGGGGCCGCTGGGGAAGCACCTCCTCAGCTCTGGGGAAGCGTAGGTGGGTGGGGGTGGTGTCCAGGGCCACTGAGGGTGGCACAAGCTAGTGGGGACCTGGGGTGCTGGAAGCCTGGGGAGGTGGCACACAAGTTGGATTGGGCGCCTGAAGCTTGGGGCAGCAAGGACCTGGCTGGCTCCCCTCATGGCCAGCCCCGGGGCGGGGGGCACCTCTGTGGGAAGGCCTGGGCCATCCCACACAGCAGGGGCCTGGTGGCTGCTGGCACACCACCCTGTGGCCCTGGGAGGGGTAGGGAGGCTCCAGCAGGAGCAGGAGCAGGAGCAGGCCTGCAGCCGCTTTTGCATTCTAGAGGCTCCTGCAGCCACCAGGATCTGGGGGCTGCCAAGGAAGGGCCTGGCTGGCCCCAGAGCAGCATGGTGTGGGGCACCTGTGGCCAGCATCAGCTGTCAGAGACCTGGCATGGGGTGCTGGAAGCTTGGGAAGTCTCCCACAAAGTTGGATCACGGCAGCTTCACCAGGAAGCGGCAGGAGAGGGAGGGGCTGCTTTTTCCCCATGCTGAGCACCAGTTTGTCCCCACATCCAGCCACCCATAGCACCGACACCCCTGCACACCCATACACTATACAAGAGTAAGACTGAATTTTGAGCTATTATACAATCATTTCTACATATACAGCACAAACACACACAAATCAGGACAAATTTTTTTTTTTAAATTAAATTAAAAAATATTATTATGGGTGTTTCATTTTTAGTATATAATTTGTTTTTTTTCCCCCTAAGATGGCATATCCTCTTCCCCAAAAGAATACTTCCAGAGGCAAGGGAAGGAACCTCTGGTGGCAAAGGTCAGAGGTGACCAGGGGGCGGGGCACCTGTCAAGGGGCAGGGCTATCCATGTGGCCCTTGACAGCTTGCTAAAACTCAGTAAGTGGCCCTTCACCCAAAATAATTGCCCACCCCTGGTCTACAAGATCCTATGACACCTGCATACAGGCAGTCCTCAGACTTAGGATGCAATTTGTTCCTGAAAACCACGTCTTAAGTCAAAATGTTGTAACTTGGAACCAATTTTCCCATAGGAGCAATGTTATAAATGGCTGATTAGTTCCTTTACAATGCTGGATACAGCTGCATCCAGCTGGTAAGTCTGGTGTGGTGGAAGTGGCAGGGAAGGGAAGGTGTGTTGGGGGGGGCAGATCCAGCCTCGCCATGGTGAGGGAGGAGCTGGGGCAAGTTGCTCATCTGGCAGCTCCTACTGCTTGTCTGGGAGGGCACGGTGGGGGCGTGTGCCCCCAGATCTGCATGGGGTGGGGTGGGCAGGGCTGGGGTTGCACCAGGGTATGCTGGAAGCAGAGGCTATACCCTCCTGCCACTTGCCCAGCTGAGGCAGGGTGGGCACGGGACAAGGTCGCTGCGCAGCCTCTGGACAAGTGGTGTGCAGTGGTGGAAGCCGCTGCCTCCCCCCTCCCCCCCCATGAGCCATGGCTCTATCCGGTGCCTGCCCTGCCCTGCCCTGCTCTGGCTGGGTGAGCAGTGGGAGGGCATTATGGGGGGGGGTGCCCCCGGATTGGGGTGGGTGACAGGGCAGGCAGTGGACCAGAGGCTATGGAGTGGGCCATAGCCCCCCCCACAGGCCCCACCACCTACCT